AAGAATGTAAAGCCATGCTGAAAGGATGATAGGATGGCTTAGTGTCAGTCATGACTGGCCTCCAGGAGCCATGGGCACAGTATTCCCTTGGTTAATTGCCTAGCCTTTATGGGGACCCTGAGGGATAGACTTGTTTCTTTTCCTTATTTTAATCAGGCTCACCATGGCCAAGAACGAAGATTCTTTTCTCTTAACAGGGGCATTGAGGCTTGCCCCTTCATCAACTAGCCTCTCTGAATTTGATTTTGATGTTTTTTCGACCCCTGCCCCTCCTTTGACCATGGCTCTGACGACTGATACTAATACCCCATCAACGTTTACTGACAATTCCATCCATTCCAAACCACCCATCCAGGTTATTACTCAACCTCTAGAATACACCCCTTCCTCCTTGCCAACATTCTCCAACCCATTTCCTACTAATTCTTTAATGTCTACCGCCTCTTCCCTTATTACTACTCATCATCCTTATTGTCCTCCCCCCAACAGAACTACTTCACTCCACACAACCACATCTTCCTCTTGCCCTCGTCCTTCTCCTACCTCTACCTCTGTAAACATTTTGAGTCCTCTCTTTGGCCTAGCCAAATGGGGTTGATTATTTATTCTCCTCACAGCCCCCTACACTGGAAATACCCTTCTCTTTCAACAATGCCTCCAAAAACAAGTAGACAAAGTTACCTTTCGCAGTCACTCCAATTGTTCACGCCTTGTCACAGTTACATCTGAATTCCAAGCTCATGCACTATCTACTCTAACTGACCTCACTGGCAAACCCATTCCTGCAGAACCTCACACCTCTCTTACGACTTGTACTGGAACTGTTTCTATCCCCCCAAATGCTTGTCCTATATACAGCAAGAACTGGTCAGACTGTGAAAATGACCTACTTACCTGCCTTACTGATTATGATGCAGTGGCAGTACAATGCTACACTATTCCCCCCAGAGTCCAGTGTAACTCCCATGCCATTGGTGGATTGTCCTACAATGTCCAACCATATTGACCCCTTCCCTGTCAATGTCAAAAATGTTGCCATTTTGGCTACCCAGCCAAACACTGTTGCTCCACAGCCCACTGCCCTCTATGTGCCCAACATAGTCATGACTTCATATTGCCCTACTCAGGCATGTACATGTGCCAACTGTAGTGACTCCCATAACATATTTTATAGGTGCCCTGCCTTTAAGCTCAAATGTGAGGTAGCCATTCTCATATTCAAACTAGGCCTCACTCTATGTAAGGCCAGACAAGAAGCACAATGACAAGGTTTTTCTCTCTACCTTTTCTAAAACAGTCCCCCATCTTCACAAAATGTTTCTGCATCTTCCCCAGTATCTCTTCCCTCTACCTGAACACCTTACCTCGACACTCCCTATCCCCCAGATACTCCAATCTCTACCACTTCTCCAATTCCTCCCTCTCACTTTACCCATTGCACCAAACAATCTAAAAGTCCTACTCCATCTTTGCCTTTCACAGCCTCTCCTGTGCCCTCTTTTTCCTCTGCTCCTCAAATATCTATCCCCTCTTCTACTCACAAGAGATTCTTTGTTTCTCAGACCCCCCCCCCCCATCACACAATCCCATAACATTCTATAACCTTTGATATGTAACACTCTTGATCCTAATAGTTTACCCTTTTTTACCCTTCTCACCACAATACTTTACCATAGTACTAAATGACATTAGAGGTCTAGGAAATTTATATGTTTCAACCATTAACCATTTTTGTTAATGTTATTGCACTACTTTGATGAAATGAAATCTGTGCAAGGAAAATAGTCAATTACCACCTTGATATAACATATCATGACAAATATAGACCTTGGCAAACGGGTTGGGGGAAATGCGTAAGAAGAAAAGAAAAAATAATAATGCAAAGGGGAGGCAGGGAGTCTTGCCACCATATGTAAGTGTTCCTGTTCTCCAGGCCTAACTACCATACACCCAGAAGAGTCACCTCTTGGGTCCACATGCATCAGAATCCAATTAGTTAAAAATATATATACAAACGAAAAACAGAATAAAGCAGGGTATATTCAATACTTAGTTAATGCCGGATTTATTAAATATACAGTCTTAAACCGTACACTAACTTAATTAAAGCTCCTATATAAAGTATTAGTATTGCTGATATATAAATGTACACTAAATACACTTTAATCTCCACCTACAGCAAAGATGTTGCTGTCCACATACAGCTCACAGGCAAAGCACTTGGAAGAGTTGATGACAAGGACCCTAAAGTTGGGAGAAAGTAATTCCGCACTCATCTTAGCAGCGAGGGGAGTAGGGAAGTCAGCAGTATGTCTCAATTTCTTATGTTTTGATGATGGAATTGTTGTCATGTGAAATAATTTGTGTATTGGATTTTACAAATCGCAAGATTATTATTGTAAAATTTAGGCAGGTTTTTAAGTCTACTCTGATGATTTTTCTGGTCACTATTTACTTTTTTGTGGATTTCAGTATTATGCATGCAACTTCATGGTTTTAAACTCTCATAACCATATAAATGAAATTGTATTTCTTAGGATAATTTGCAATATGTGTATTCTTAATTCATATTACTCAATAAGCCAATCCAATTATATATTTTCAGCCAAAAAATCATCTTTTTTATGCTTTCCAGCTTGTGAACATCATATTGGAGAATCTCGCTTCCTCAGGAACTTTGGGGAAGGAGTTGTTGTCCGTCTGTCAGGGTTGTTGCAGACCGACGACAGGCTGGCTCTGAAGGAAATCACCTGCCAGTTGAGATTGGAGAATGCAACAGCAAATAAAGTCTTTGGTTCTTTTGCAGGTTAGCTGTGTTATCAGGTTTATTATTTTTGAGCAGTTTGTCTCATGCTATTGAAGTAACAAAAAAATATTTGGTAACTGGAATTCACTTCAAATAAAAATAAAAGTATAGACTTCAAATATTACCCAGATCTTTGAATGGAGTGAAAGTAGTGCCACCCAGTTGTGTTATCAAACCTTTTATTTCTACCATCAGAAAACTTGGCCTTCCTGCTTGAGTCACTCCGCAGTGGTAGCAAAGAGACATCAAAACCTGTGATCTTCCTTCTTGATGAGTTTGACTTATTTTGTCACCATCACAACCAGACTTTACTCTATAATCTCTTTGATGTTGCTCAGTCAGCCCAGGTCAGCAACACAAGCTAAATCTGTTTAAAAGTCTTGATTTTACATTTAAGTTTGGATATAAATTTGTAACAATACTGATGTAAACAAGCTTGAAACATCCAGACCTATTATGCTCTAGTATTCACAGTATTGTGATTATGCACTGAACCTTCATTTGTCTCATACATTTTATCCCAAACAGGCACCAATTTGTGTAATAGGCCTGACTTGTCGTCTTGATGTTATTGAACTCCTGGAAAAGAGGTCAAGTCACGATTCTCACACAGACAAATTCACCTTTTCTCTGAGGAAAAGTTTGAGCCACAGTATGTTAATACCATAAAGTTGCTCTTGAGTTTGCCAGAAACATTTCTCCACAAATTGGCTTTGTTAACAGTTACAGAAAATTGATAATAATGTGATATTTCCACTTACATCTTTACTTGTGTGTAAGTTTGCAAGTTGGCATACTTGTTTCCTATATGGCAATTAGGAGTAAGAGTATCATTCATATTTGAATGAATAATAAAAATAATGAAATTAAATACATTTTAACTAACTTTTACAGAGTTTTGTCAAAACCTGGAATGCTCAAATAGATGATTTGATGAAAGCTGATGATGTCCTGAGAGTTACCAAAAGACTGTACGATACAACACATGATATTAGGGCTCTGAAGACCTTACTGGTGAGAGCAGCACCAGTATGAATGTTGCATAAAGAGGCATGATGTTTTATGCATGGTTTACCAAAATTTGTAAAATCAGAATCAATCACACATTTGTAAAAGTTAAAAGCCAATTACATAATAAAAATCTTATATAAGAATCTCTCGGGTATACATCAAGCATAACCAGATTACAAATACTAAGAGTATTAAATTTGATTAATTCTGCAGTGAGGTAACATTAGCCAAATAATGTCAGTATAAATTCAGCAGTTTCATTCCTCTTCCAGCTTCTATGTGTGAGCCAACTTAATGCAGATAGGCCTAAGCTGACACCAGATATGTTTACTGCAGCACAGCCCATCATGAGAGCTGAAGCAAAAACTAATATGTTACAGGGACTGTCTATTCTGCAGCTTTTTTGGTGAGAGAAGTTACATTTGTAGTGTTTTTTTAAGTTTTATCTTTGGTGTAAAGTTTATTAATGCTTATAATAACACTACATTGTTCCTATAAATTTCATAGAAATCTCTTCAGAGTTTCTCCACAGCCTTTGCCCCAAAGCATTCATAGTTGTCAATATTAGGTAGTACTATAAAAAGGTGTTTCACATGAAATCATATCAGCATTATTCCTGCAGATTATAGCCATGAAACACCTCACAATGATCTATGAAGGTGAGCCATTTAATTTTGAAATGGTATTTCACGAATACCTGAAATTCAGCCAGAGGAAGTCCACCATGCAGAGCTTTGAGCGTCCAGTCGTGTTCAAAGCCTTGATCAACTTAAGGTGAGATGAATTGGTTTTCATTATTATTGAATTCATTCTGGTGTGTTTACAAAATAAAGATGAAAGACAAATGACATTATATTCATGTCATAGATGGTTCCCACTGTAATAACATCAACTGACTTTTTCAAATTTTAGTGCCTTGAGCTGGTTCGGCCTGTAGACAACACTCGTGGGATACAACGTGAATATCAGCTCGTGCAGATGATGATTACACCACTACAGGTGATGGACTCTCTTAATCAACTCCCTGGAATACCAACAGATGTGCAACAGTGGGCTACCTGCTCATTTGCATAATTCTAAACCGTTAACTGTTTACGTTTATGTAGAGTATTTTATCCTAATTTAGTACTGATGAATGATTCCTATTTTTTTTGTAATTTTTTTAAAATAAAAAGCAACAGCATTTTCTTTGACTGCTTCATTCTCTTTTACAAAAATGTATCATTATTTTTGTATTATGCTTTATTCATTTCACAAGATGTGGAATTCAAACAAGTTATGAAATTAGGTGATTTATATCACTGGAATGGTCAATAAATAAATACAATCTCTCCTTGATGAAAGTTTCATACATTATGATAAGACTAAGTTTATATGTACAGGACCACTAACAATTTGTAAAACTCAGAAACATTAACAAAATTGACAAAAAAATTATATTTACTTATTTCATATACACTAACATAATTTTGTCTTGAATAATGAACATAATTTAACATATAAAAAAAAATATATAAATATATCTAAGGTACATAATCAAAGGCCCAACTTCTAAAGGTGACCATTTCATTATAGTGACATTGCTGGAGTTGTGCGATTGTCAGTGTTCTTTTCATCAAAGACATCATACAAAATGTTCCTCACACGAACCACAAGTGCTGGACGGACTCTGTGGAAGAGAAGTCTTATTAAGACATGATATTAATGGTTGCAGTACTGTTCACAGCTTCAATATCATAATGTACTGTCTACCATTATTTAGTCACAATATCACAGTATTGCTTATTAGTAAAATAAAAGAACAAAAATGAAAAAAAAATCTTAATACATAGATAAACCATACCAACATAATTCATTAAACAAAAATAACTTTTTGTCCTTTGTATTACTTACAACTTCTTGTACTTTCTGGTAAAATTGGTGCACTTTTCTTTTGATGTGTTAGCGCCCACGACAAACACAAATACTAAGTTGGTCTGCTTGTCAATCAGAGTGGCAAGAGATTCAGGTCCAAAGCTTGTGTGTCTCGCTCTGAGCTGATGAACACTCGTTGTAGACTGTTGCATGCTTCTAAGGCCTTCCAGATGTTAGTGCCAGGGGCTAGGTAATTCTGCTGAATTCTGTAAAACAAATATGAGGTAATTACAATAAGTTCTGTAAACAGAAAGGTAATATACAATATATAATTTTCTATATTAACCCATTCATGACAGGGTAAGTCTGGCATCTGTGGTAGTAATATGTGTCCCCCTAAGCTCCCTACACTCATCACCCGCCTAATCCCCCCCTCCCTCCCCAGTACTTAAACAACTCAAACATTACTTGCCTTAAACAAAAATCAACATTTTAACCCCTTTTATTTACATTGATAGTTTTTAAAAAGGCAGTACCCAAACTTTATAAACAGCTGTTCCTGTTGTGATAACAGGTAACAAATCATGCGTTACCCCAATATGCAACAAGACAACAACATCCACACATCCACAGAAGGCAAGAACATCCATTTTAAATGACACATAAAGCTACACCTTATCTTCTGCATCATAACAGGCACACTGTTAGCACTTACTCTCCACGCACTAGTACATCAAGTGCAAACCAGGACACCTGATCATCACACATCCAGGGAACATAAGAGCACAGATATAACATCTATCCTCACTGCTACATGATGCTCCACAAGAAGTTACAATAATACAAATTCACATGCTAAAACACCATCCTTCTGTTTATACTCTGTTGATGACTGGTGTTATTGTTAACCTTGGTCCATACCAACCAAAGTATGCTATGTACAAAAGCAGTGAAATGGGGTGAAAGGACCATCCAATGCGATATCTGCTGTAACCAGTCCAGGCATGCTGGCTGGTACCATATCAGCTGCATTAGATCATTTACACAGTTACACATTTACAATGGACTAGTTAATAGCATTAAGTGGAGACCTTAAATTATGCAGATAAACAGATGTTCAAAATCACAAGCAATCAGATTGACAAATAAACAGGATTACTTACACTAAGCAAACATGAGTAACAGCATAATGCTCACATTCAGAAATACATGACATACCACACTGGTAGCTTCTTACAAACATACTTTCCACATACCATTTGCGACTGAAACAGACTCCCACAACATATAATACATGTAAACATGCCAGACACCTTCCACCACTAGCACACTTTAAACACACACAATACCAATGCTTAGCCACCCTCATTTCCCCCCCCACACACACACACAAAACATCCAACTCCCACATAAGCATGATATGTGCTAATGCACAATGCCCTACAGTTGAATCCAATTGAGATTGGGAAGGTGTGTTAGTGCATACTGTTCCATGTCTGGTCTTGTCCAGGCATTTGAGGCATCATCCAGCTGCTAGGATACAGGCTCATGATGTTTAATTTCATTTAGCATCAGGGAAATTTTCATCAGAACATGATTAAACATAACCCAGCATGAGTGGATTAATGACTTTTTCCTATTACCCTACCCACACTCGATAATGTCATGTCATGGCAAAAATGTCTCACACCAGGCAACATCCTATCGAGCCTGCTCTAAGTTGGCCATGCCTGTAGTCACTGAAGAGAAAAAAAGCCTCTTTGTAGCCTCATTTCCAAAGCATTTATGATGCAACTAAGAGTAGATAGTGGGGTAACGGTACGTTCTGCAAACCTAACTTTCACTTGAGCAGCTGATTCTTAAGTGACGTCTGACAAAAGGCATCATAATACATCTATGCACCCACATCCACAAACATAAAATAGGTGAGGAAAAGGTGCGAACAAACATTACCTGAGATTAACTAAATTTTTGCAATAAGCAAGAGCTTGTATAAGTTGGCTGAGGTACACACACTTCCCTGAGGGTCCCAAACTTCTCAGGCGAAGGAATTTCAAATTAGTACATTCTCTTGTAATCTAAAAAAAAAAAAAAAAAAAAAAAAAAAAAAAAAAAAAAACATGCAGTAATAAAGATTACACATAATGTATAAAATCCTTTGAACAATACTCATTTCTTACATTAATGATTATTGAAACAAGAAAATTTATATTTACCACAATAAGAAAATTTCCATTTGTAATAGGAACTCCATCCAAAGTTAAATGGGTAAGTCCCTTTAATTTCTTTATGTTTTCCAAACATTCCCAGAGTACCTTGGCTGGACTACATGATGTACTGGAGAAGAGAATGTTGAAGAATTACTGTTTCCATCAGAACCAAAATACTTCATGATAATTAGTAATTACCTAATGAAAGTGCAAACATATGTAGACACAGAAACTTTCTTTGAAATAAATGTGCACTCACATGTACACACAGCAACTTAATTCAAATAAATGTGCACTCACACAGACACTATACAGAAATCACCCTCTCTCAAATAAGTGTGCACGTATACATAATGCATCCCCTCTCACCTTGTGTTAAAGCCAATCTCTAGCATGACAATATGCGGACAATTATCAAACACCAAGTTGAAAGCAGCTACTGCAGCATTTGACTGACACTGGGTAATCCCTACACGCCTTTTCTTAAAACCTCCTGTATAGACTACCTCAGAACTTGCTCCTTTAATCTCCTTGTCTGGCAGCTTCTCTGTAAAAAAAAAAAAAAAAAAAAAAAAAAATTAATGATAATACAACTAAATATTAAAAATGATAATTGACAATTCATATCATCAAGTTCACCACTCAAATGCATTTTACTGTATATATATATATATATATACATATATATATATATATATATATATATATATATATATATATATATATATATATATATATATAAATTCATAGGTAAATAACCATACATTAATAAATATCCAACTTTATTACATTAATACATACCAATGAGAGAAACTGGGACTGTGAGATGCGTCAGGTTATGAAGCAGTGCAATTCCATTTACAATTTTGGGAGGTCCGTGTTCTGGTTGGCAGCATATACTGAGTCGTTCCAGCTTGGGCAGTTTTTCACTAACTTTTCTTGTATCCTGCAATATATCATTCTTATGCCACAACTTGGAACTATGAAGATGCACTTTAATGCATTTCTTGGTTAGTGCCGTATTCTGCACCTATCGCCTAATATGAAGAAATATCAAAGGAAATACTAAAAACTATTTCAAATAGGTAAAAAAGTTGACAGATTTTACCACTGTAACATTCAATCCAAATAACATGCAAACATTTGAGCTTCGGACATGAACTAATGATGTTGGACAGATTTGTATTGACTGGTGTCTGGCCCTTTACTGATAATGCAGTCAAATTGTGCAGGATACCAGTCTTTTGAACCATCTCACGGAAATAGGGCGTGAGCGCAAGGAATAACGTAGAACACTTGCTCAGCACAAAGCTACCTGGAATTAAGTAACTGAATGTTAGTTAAGAAAATAATGGTGCATCTTGTACAAAACTATCAAAAAATTTATCCCCAAAATACTGGTTAGATACAGTATCAGAACACTGACTAGACAAGTGAAACTTGAAAATTGTTCCTTTTAAGAGTCCAGTCTCAGGAAAGGAAACTGGTAATTCTCTGGAATATTCCAATTTACCAATCTGTCTTTTTTCTATTTATTTCATTTCATTTTATTTTATTTCTTAATCAGAAAACAATTATTGCTGATATTTACAGATTTTGAATTTTGAAACATACATATAACATTCTTTTGTTTTTATTTCCATTTATAAATTCTAATCTTATTCATTATATTCTTTAATTGGCTGCCTTCAGGGCACTGTATTTCCTTGAATGAGACTTGGCAAATCAGAGAACTCTGAGTCCAGTGTCAGCTGTCACATCTTCCTTTCCTGAGATTGGAAAGTGTAGAAGCTGGCTACAAGGAAATGTACATTTCCTTAGATGTTATCCTCTAAGCTATCCTAAAATTGATATCCACTGGTACCTTGAATATTGCATACTAGCTAAATTTCCGACCTATCACTCAACAGAAGGTAGATATGCTTTGTTCTTAAAATAAAGTGACATCCTGTAGACTGAAAAAATGAAGTGATTGTGAAGGTCCTACCTAATCTTCTAACATGTTCTGTATCCATCTGAATTTCTGTGTTTATCCAATAGGTTTTCCACTCAGCTGAAGAATTGTACCCTTGAGATATACTGTCAATGAGGCTTTCTGAAAAAAAAAAAAATAAATAAATAAATAGTGATGACATCTTTGAAAATAATGGATATATTTTTCCAAAAGCAACATTTTGTCTCTGGTTAGGTATGACTTAGATTTAATAAATACAACAAAAATGTTTTGTTTCAGAAATGCAAATCAATCCATTTGTTTCATAACGTTTCACAAGCTACCAAAAAGTACTGCTGATGAGCAGTATTAACAGTTGTTCATTTCACTGAAAGATACTGTATTAACACATGAGTATACTGATAATGCATCCACAGGAGAGACAAAATCACAATATACACAAGACAAAAATGTACTCACACAATAAGACTAAATGGAAATGCCCCATCAGCATGGTCTATCACAAGTTCTTCCAGATGTGGGAAGTCTAGTTTGTATTTATGACCTGTTATTGATGAATTTAAATATGATCAGAGCAGATAGTAATATCAATATCAAATTCCTCATTTTTTTCTATGCACTAAAAAAGCATTAAATCCACAATAAATTCAAACAGTATACAGATCATATTATAATCAACATTAACCCAAAGGCCCAATGTGTTGGCCAATGACACTACCACTGGCATATTTGTGATTCTGTTTGCACACAGACCACACCACAAGAGCTCTGCCACCAAGCAACCAAAATTAGTAAGCCTACATGTTCTCAGGTGATTCAGCCTTTCCTGAGTTTTCTGTATTTTTTTTTCTAAAGCTATTAATATTTAATGTTATTATTGTTGCTAGCATAATGATTATTATAATGTTATCCACATTATCAATAGCTTTTTTCTTATCTTTCTAAAAATCAAAGAGAAGGATAAACAGATGAGCTAAGTAGGGCTACTAATTGATTACCTGGCAATTAAGCACTTGTGGAGCCATCTACGTGTAAAAACAATCAAATAAAAAAAGCCACCGTAGACCTGGCATTGTATTCTTGCCATCCCACCAACATTGATGAGTTTGAAGACTGTCTTACTGTTCAAATCCCTCGGAGTGGAAAAGTAACAGCGTGCATGATGATTGCTAATGGAGAGCTTCCTCAAACCCTTGCAAAGTGTGAGAAGTTCAGTATTGGTGCTGGTTGGAATAAATCAGTATCTGCAGCGACTTTAATCATTCAGTATATCTGCTACTTCCTCAAAGCCACCTATCCATTGCTGTCTATTTTCAGACTCCATATTCATCTGGCCAGCTTATTGATAAATCCTGAATCTTGAAACAAGAAGGATTTGTGTCAAAATTACACAACTGGGGGAGGGGGAGGGAGAGAGAGAGAGGGGGGAGTAGAGAGAGGGGGGGGAGTAGAGAGAGAGGGGAGTAGAGAGAGAGGGGGGACAGAGAGAAGAGGGGGGGAGTAGAGAGAGAGGGGAGTAGAGAGAGAGGGGGGAGTAGAGAGAGAGGGGGGAGTAGAGAGAGAGGGGGGAGTAGAGAGAGAGAGGGAGAGAGAGGGAGGAGGGAGGGGAGGGAGAGAGAGAGAGAGGAGAGAGAGAGAGAGAGAGAGAGAGAGAGAGAGAGAGAGAGAGAGAGAGAGAGAGAGAGAAGAGAGAGAGAGAGAGAGAGAGGAGAGAGAGAGAGAGGAGAGAGGAGAGAGAGAGGAGAGAGAGAGAGAGAGAATGAGAGAGAGAGAAATAGAAAGAATGAGAGTCAAAGTCAAAGTCAAAAACATTTTATTCTATTAATTACAATGGTTATTCTTTATATAAATACATTCATAT